AAAGGCGCCTCGCCGATGCGACTTTGCCCACGTCTATATGAGTCCACGTTAAGCCTCTGTTCATTTCATAAAATTCCTCAAACACAAATTAAAAGTATCATTAATATTAAAAACAGATTTCTTTCTTAAAAGTAAAATAAAATAAAAAAATGGAGAATACCGAAAGGGTATGCTTCGATATTTAGTAGTCTATAATAGATCTATCATAGTTGTGGTTTTACTGACGACTTAAACTAATTTACACTTAACATCTGTGCATAATCTAGGATTTTATATCACTGGCATTAGCCTCGAACAATTTGTTAATTTTTGGAGTCTGGAAGCAGGCTTACTCATACATTAAGTTTGTTAAAAAAAATATCACTTGTTTTACAAAACTGTTTTTCTCAAACATTTATTGATATGACACCGTCATTACGCCTATTTCTTTCAATTACTAACATATAACATTCTACATAAATTACTAAAAAAAAACTAATCTGATTCTTTCAGTGACAGTGAAATCAGGAACATTTCTAACGGTATATGGTGCTAATCTGAATTGATAATTTAACATTACTTAAATTATCGAATAGATTTTGGAACAGAGTTTGGAATCCAGAGTATGTATTTCACGATATTCACTAGAGGCCAGCTCGTCTGCGTCGTATAGTGCAAAACACCAAGGACGTTCGTAACACTTGCGAGAGACCTTCTAAATACTACTTGTCGCTAAAGCCATTCTTATTATATTATTCTTTCTTATTATATTTCCTTCACAAGCTACCTCCCTGTCAAATTTACATTTCATAGTTTTCGCGTAGTTTTCGAGATTTCATTATAAGTCGATATATGAATAAGTAAGTAGGTATCCTTTCACTTTAAAAGATTTAGGATTTGGCATGCATAACTGATTCTTGATTATGCACATGTCTACATGAAAAAAAATTAAATCAATTTATTACTAAAACCGTTTAAGAAGGGTAACAACTAAAGTTTCGCAACTATAAGACAAACTTATATGGATTTGCGGACGACCTACGTACGCAAGTAGGAACTCGTACAACCTGAAAACCACAACAGTTACTACAACTCTAAGATGTGAAAGGTCAAATCGTCTCGCATTTACAAGTCAACAAAATAAATGTATGCAGTAAATCTCAAATTAATGACTCCGGACCTCTTTACAAAATACTATTTGAAATTCTATAAATTATACAGAAAACATTCGATTAAATAAATGGTATTAGATTTGGCGATGTTTTACAATACTTCTGTTTTAATGTAGAGAGGAATAACTTCGATGTGACTTTAAATAAGATACCCTATTAAATTTATTGTTTCCTCCTTTCCTTTCTAAGTTAATTTTATTTAATAATGTCATATTTTTACGCAACTTAATTTGTCACATATCGGCCACTTTGGCAAGCGATAATAATAATCATTCAAATCCTTTGTTACAACAAGTAATTATTATAAAATGCATAATAATAAACAGGGTACTAATTGTTACACCCTTATTAATCATATGATTTATAAGGGTGTAACAATTAGTAGACCCTGATTTCAAAGCTAGGGTACCTGTAACTTAGAAAAGTGTTCTGTTAAGCAATTTTTGATTTTATTGCGTTTAAAAGACATGAAACGTGACGTGAGTGTGTCTACGAATGAGTGTGGCTGTGTAGCTATGTGTTTTTTAAAGTGATTTCTATTTGAAAATTAATGATGAGATGTTTAAAAATTTGTGGATTTGCCAGAGCCAAAGATAATTCAAACGTAATGTTTTATGCTTTTTATTTTGTGTTATTTGTTTTGATGTGTGACACTTAATGTCCACTAAAAACCCGTTACACACCTCAAAACTTGTGAATGCAATTACTCAAAGAGTTCTAGGTATTATATCACTTTACTTTCAATTGATTCTCAGATTATTCCATGAGATTTTTTCCAAAGATGGTTTAACGTTCTGGTTTACTACTGTGTGAGATTATACACATACAAAGAAGCAATACCCAAAAGTTAGAGGAGTTACGATAGTCTATACATACCAGTAGTAGATAGTCCCAGTGATGAGAAAATTACATCGATTGCCTGGCGCGATCTGTAGGCATAGGTAGGTACTTAGAGAGGATTAATTAACGCGTAAGGCCAAAACCTCCTTTCTAAGAAGAGGCCTATGTCCAGCAGTGACTATTAAAGGCTGTTGATGATGATGATGATGAATTAACGCGTGCTATTCATTTTTATAATCTGCAAGAACTACCAAAACCATTTATTTGCAGTCTATTCAGCACCATATTATAAAGCTTTTTAAGCGACTTACAAAAAAATTCGGCTGTATTTTTTGTCACAGAATGCCTACATTTATGAACTGATTTGGAAATTCTTTTTTTCCTTTTGAAAAATAATCTACTCTTGAGGGCAAACTTTAGGAATTATGAAAACGCAGCGTTCATATTTATGTCAAATGTAACATCATCAACAGCCTGTAGAAGTCCACTGCTGGCCATAGGCCTCTTCTTAGAAAGGAGGTTCTCGCCTACGAGTACTATACCACGATGGGTTGGTATACGGTTTATTACAAGTTTTCCTTCTCTTTGCAATGCGAATGTCCTGTGTAGTTTGCTCTCTTAATCGGCTCCTACGACACCCACGAGATGAATAGGAGTGGTGACACTGTATCCTGTATCAGTCAGCACACGGACAATCTGTCACGAAATGCATCAGTGTGTTCTAAATTTAAAAAAATCTTAGCCCATATATGGAAGTTTTCCCCTTAAATATTTAATTGTCTATCAGCAAGGCCTGAAACTACTCAAAATCAAGTAATCATCTTAACCAAGTTAAGTCAATAGTGAGACTTTGGATGTTAATAAAATGTTCATGACAAACCTACACAAGGACATTGGCATATTATTATTCACTCAACGCATTATTAAACCGCGGAAATGTCTTTAACCAAAAATTCTATTTAAGAGCTTAAAAACCAAATAATTTAAAAAAAAATTACGAAGTAAAATAATGATTCATGTACCTATGTGATAACATGCCTTGACATTTATGTGGTAAGCTCGGGTTTTTAGAGCTCTACTCAAACTATGTACATATATAAATAATATCTATCATTTGGTTTTAATATTACTTAGTTTCTTTAAATACATCTTTATACATTGATTCCGTTGTGCCAACAAGGTGTGATTTCTGCTAAACCTTTTTTTTGTTGAAAGGGCAAAAAAATCCCTTCGGTTCCTCCTCCTCCTCGCGGAGGCAAGAGCCAGTAGTATGTGGTTTTACACCGAGGAGGACCCGGACCGTGTTATTTCTGCCCCCACCCCCCCCCCCCGGAGCGAAGTCGTGCCTAGTAAGGCAATTTCCCGGAGAAGCCGCGGGCTTCCCCCTGTCTGTCGGCCCAACCATTATCTGTTGCGGCCCGATCGCATTGTTGCGACCAGTCCGCTATCCTATCGCCTACCACAGCAGTTAATCTACCATCAGAGATCTCTACTCTCTGGCGGCCTGCGGCCCTGTCGACGGCTGATATCGCCGCTGACGCCCTCCGACGCTCGGGATCGGCCCTCTCCCGATTTCTGCTAATCTAATATATGCTGCATATGAATATACACATGTGTGACAAAGTGGATAATTTGTGAAATGATCTGCTTGCCACCACATCGCGACAGTGACTAAAAATTAAGATTAAGATATTAAGACTAGATATACAGCAAATACGGAGCATAAAAACGCAGATATTCGTAACCTTAAGAATTATTTGAAATTAAATCTCTTTGATGGTGCTTATTAATCATTAATTAAAATATGCCGGAAGAACTTCAGGAACTTCTCTGCTAGGTCATTCAACAAATCGCAGACTCAAACACTTAAGGCTTTTGACCTCAGGACAGGGCATTCAACTTCTCATTAGTCCTTTCCAGTTCATACGAATTGATATCTAAAAGTTTGGTTCGATAAAGTGGGGACACATACCTGCTTAATATAGTTTTTTTTAACTGCTCTGCTGCTCAGAGCACGCATGCACAAGCGAAACACAATCCCTGACTATAAAACTAACTTGTACTTAAAGATTACCACTAACATGTAATCGTTTTTTTGCCGTACTTTCGGGCGGATCGAGAAAGAATATTTAAAACACACTTAACAAAGATTATAATGTTTCAAGTATCACGTAATGATTCATAAATAAAAAAACTTACTAATTAATTATAGATTCGTTTTTAATATTACTTTAGCTATCTGGTATTGCATAAAAAAAAATCTCAGTTCCGCTCTCACCAGTGGTCCCAATTAAAGTGGTCCTCGTCACTTTACGTCTTTATTTATTGCCTATGACATCGTTACTGTCATCAGTTTCACACCTTTCCACTTCGTCACACGCCACTTATGTAGGTATATACCAGACAGTTTTTCTTCCCTATTAGGTAATTACAAGAAGAATACCCTTAGGTTAGTTTTCTTTAAGGTGTCTAGCATCGACAACACAATTGCTCACATTTATATTCAAATAACTCGACCCGTTTAAAATGTAGAAGTTCAAGACTCTTTAAATAGAATCTTCGGGTGAAAAGGTCAATAATTAAATACTGCAAATTAATATATCACTGTCGCAGTATTTTAGCGCCGGCAAAATAGTTTCCAAAATGCCTTTAGGAAGCATGTCAAGTTGTTCAGTACAACGTCACAGCAGGACTCAATTTCAGAGGCGACAATTGAGTTAAACATTGCTATGTAAACAATGTAAGATATGTGGTAGCGCGTGCGCAACTTCGAATATAAATCAGGCTAGTGGTTGTGGGGCGGCGGCGGCGCGGCGGTGGCGGCGCGGGCGGTCACAGCAGCGACACCGGCTTGGAGTGTACCAGAGGTGTTCGTGTTGGAACGGCAGATCAACCGTGGCCTCCGTCGATTGTGGACCTGCACAAAGCCGTCCCGCGGAGAAAGGACCGACACAGTGCGTCTTGCATCACCACCAAAGATACCAGAACACCACACACCCGCAAACAATCATGAAGATTCTACCCTTGTAAGTAATACAATTTCAATATTTTATCTGTTAAAATTAAATATTATTTTGTTATTATAAACTATTATATATATATATATATATACAGAGTTAGGCAAATCCTAAGTTGTCCTAAATTTAGGTTTGCCTAACTATGTTGAACTTTAACTGCTTTGCGAATGCCTTTGCGATGTACGATATCTATACTCGTATAAATACTATACAATATGTATGTAGGTACCTTTAAATTTCTCAGCCGTAAAGTGATACTGGAAAGTTTATGAATCGATTAACTTTAACTATGTTTAATAGAGATTTCGCACGGCGATATTGTTGTTATGATCAGTGGTAGTTTCCAAGAAAATCGCAGTTCAGGTTCGATCATCGAATACTTTTAACAACGTGTGACGAAACGAAAACGTCATAAATACAATATGACGTTTACGCACCGTGTGTTTGCCTTTCTAATATCAATGGTCGAATAGCAATGCATCCTTGTATAAACTTACAACAACTGACAGCTTGCGGCACTTTTAATAAATGCCGCCTACGTGACGTGCCGGCTCTATTGTGGAGTTTAATTTATAAAAAAGTAGAATGAACTGCCTAAGACTTTAACTGTAACATTAAGAGGAATAGTTATGTTTAACGTAGTGGGCATACGATACTCAAATATTGGGAATCAAGTTATCTATTTGCCAAGGATTACGTAGTCATAACATAAGTCATAACTTATTATCACAGATTTCAAGATTGGGGGTCTTAACTAATATTTCATAATTTGTTGACTTATAAACCTCATTATAGAGAAATTGGGCTGTAAACCAAATGTAGGCAACTAATTAATTTGAAAATTAATTGAGCGAAAGCAAGAACCGGTTTCATGAATGAGTCGGTTCCATGTTGAAAGTTAGACCCGCGACCTACGATTAGGCAATGTAAAGTTATGTAGGGTACAGAAGACGCAGCATTTTGTCTCCCAGCACTCGCCCGACATCTTCACAACGCATTGATATGTAAAACTTTATCCGCAACAGATAAAGCCGCGTGCAACCGTTAGTCTGTCTGACAACATTTTTCTCGTAAATACCTCTCCATTTCATCCACTCATATTACTATATAATAAAAAATCTAAAATAAATTGATAATCCCTTTGATGGTGCTTCTTAATCATTGGAAATTATTTAAGAAGAATCATTTACATTCATGTATTCATTCACCTAACTTGACAAGTAAAAAAAAAAACTTTACATGTAACACTCGTAAGAAGGATCACAAATCAATTGCTTGCACGTGCGGTGCCTATGAACTAAATGTACTCAGACGATTTCAAAACAATATAAAATAAATAGATCCTGTTTTACATACAGTTTGATGGAAGTTGTTAACCTCACTTTCATGCTCAAGATTTACGGTAGCATGTTATTAACATGACAATTATACTCGTAAATACGCTGTTGGCGTAATACTTGTATAATATTTCAAAAACTACTATTGCGCATTGAAGAGTTGTCTTACTTTTTAGAATTAATTGTAATACTAACTTTCACAAGTATGATTTCAAATTTACTTTTGCAACGATAAAGAATTGTTTCCGAAACTCTAAAGGAAAATATTTTTTGGATAATTCGCACAAGGTCTAGGAATTTGTGTTTCTATATTCTGCAATACCGGTCGCTAAACTATTGATAATTAAATGCAGTTACTTCCACTTGCTGACCTCAATCAATATACATAGATTATACCTAATGTTTTAAAATTTTGTATCAGTTGGTTTTGTATCAGAGTCGGTTTTGCTCTGATGTTGCAAGATATTGCTCGCGTGGGTGAACAATCCGAACATTTACTACACTTGAACATTCTAGGTGAAGAAGGCACAATTTGTATGGTATAAAAGACAATCTACGTACGCTGCATCTATTAAACAAAGGCGTGTCTAGTTGTAGATGCGCTCAAAAATACCTAGCACTTACCCAACACCTGTATGAGTACTGCGAATATAAGACATTTGGTAATAAAGTTTGGTTGCCTAACCCACCGATTGACATTTGTCTACAAAACAGAGGTACTCACGAGTGTTCAATCTTTTACAGTATCTTCCCAATAGAGTGCTTGAAAAATTAAAAATCATGTCAGAGGTCACATTTTCTCATTACTAGAAGATTTTGTTTCTTAAGAGTTGTATCCTATATAGATAGAACTCTTAAGAAACAAAATTGAATAGTGAGAAGATTCATGCGCAAAAGCTTCTCATGGTTTCTTAATCTATCTGTGGGTATCGTACAGATCTGCATTAAATTAGGTAAGAATGAGTCAGATATTCCTATTCAATTATAATTTTTGACCATTGTTCTAAAAACACTGCGATTATAATTGTTTGAGTTTGTGAGAAGAGGGGTGTTACGATTGTTAGATATGACGTCATTAAAGTTAGATGGCATAGAAATGGCATCCCGGTCGATAGTGAATAACTCCGTCATGGATCGGTGCGGGTGACGGCGAATGCGCCTCGGGGGCAGAGCACTGCCTGCCGCATTGCAATGCGAGGTCAGCCTCCTTTTTACCACTTCTAGTTTCTTGCCTGCCTGACCTTGACGAGATTTGAGGTTAAAATTACACATTCCGTACACGTGGGACATAGTCGACCACATCGCCTACTATAGAAAGCTGTTTTGTTCCTGACGCGGTGACGTGACTCGAATCATAATCAAATGATTTCTACTTCCAAGACAAAATGCGTTATAAAACAATGAAATTTCCTTTCACTATATTGATTTCACAAAATGCAAAGTCACGTTTAATATACGCAATATAGGTTTTATTGTCGTATTCATTGTAAGGCGTAATGCCGTGCCGTGTACATGGTAGTGAAGATTCGTGAAGGTGCATTAAGTAGGCGGCGTATAGGTATGATCACATCAATACACTTCAATATCACAATACGCGCATCTACAAGTGTACAATATCACTTCATCTTTACTTACATAAAACCGAGAAAGCAAAGGGAAGCTGTTGTCGGAAGCGGAAACGGAATTGAAGCTCAGTCCACCTGACTTGACCCTGTGCAGAAACCTTTCATACGACAATGTACATCTAGTTAAATGTAGTAGTGCGAGGTGTTGACCTTTGGAGTACGTGAGCGCATTGTGGTGCCTCCAAGTATCTCACGAACTCGACAGGTCCTACTTAGACCCGGAGGTGTTGGCTAGTTGCACTGCGTAGCACGACATTCACCCAGCCTCGGCACGCCATACTTCTTGTTTGACATTTAACGCCATTGAACTATGTATTAAGATTGAGGCAGACAGCGCTTTCGGCGCGTCGACGACATGGTATAGCAGATTGATGAAGATTATGCCTGAATTTTACTTGTTTAATAATTTAAGTTAACAGTGTTATATTAAACCTAAGAACTGAATATTATTATCACAAACGACGACACAAGTGACGAATCTGTTGTATAATCTTTTAATTTCTTCATTAATCTAAGTTGAAATGAATATTAATCATTTTGAAGTTATGTCTAGCACAAACAATTGAATAACTATTAATTACTGTAAATCTGTACTGGCTTTAAAAAAAATTACATCGATTTATAAATATGAGTATACAGTAGACTAATTTGTTCGCATCACTACCTAGAATAAAAGTTAAAGTTAAGTGTTTGACCACCGCTACCATTACCGGGAAATCGCACCACTATTTCGGACGAACACGTATCATGTACACGGTTATACGATCCCTGTTGGGTAATCTTTAATTGTACTCTAAGTAACGCCTTTCTTGTTGATATTCCGCTAAAGGCAGTGGAGGACAACACCCCTAGACGTAGGTCCTCAAGGGACTGTCAAAAGAAAGTAAATGAATGGGCAGAGTATAGTTAATACAGAAAATATCTTCACTTCAACAGGTCACAACGTGTGGCTCGATGCATGCCCCAACCTTTAGTACTCGTTCAGCTTATAATTCACAGTCATTAACAAAAAAGTATTTGAAATCTGTTTCTGTAGTAACGATCAATCGCAATGCAAATTCGTATACATTCCATCAATATTTAGCACTCAATGCCGGGCGGTATACGATTAAATGGAACATTAATGAGATCTAATAAAGTATCAGAATGTAGGTTGTATTGCATTAGAATTGTAAAATTACATGTTTTTGCCCCATGAACTTAATATTAGGTGACCTTTATGGATGACTCCTCTTTACATCTTAAATGTCAATTTCTATTACGTGATTCTTTGTGAATACGTAACTCGCTATTAGACAGGCATGTCCTACAATGTGTTATGTAAAATATTTGTTGCTTTATGATAATTACAAAAAATAATTGTGCAGGTTCTATTGTAGACACGATGGTATTTGCATTACGTTGTATGGTCATAAACGTAGAGGACTTGTAATTAATCATACAAGGACAGCACACGTTCCAAATGTGCGACATGCAAATGCATACATACATATATCAATAAAAGTTGCCACGAATTCATCGAATAACAAATACTTATCGTTATTCAAGTTCCGAAATGCATGTAACAGAAATCCCTGACATTTAGAAATATGTATGCAAAAAGTCTCCATTCTTTACAAACCTATATTTGCTTCGTAATTTGCAATTAAAAAAATACTCGTATGTTTCGTACTTTGCAATTAAATAAATGTTTTGTAATTTGCTATGAAATAAACATACTTTTTAATTTACTATTAAATAAATATTTATTCACTTAATACTTATTTAAACAAATACAGGATAAAAAGTAAGTTAGTACTCATAAATAGTAAATTGAGTGAGTGTTTATTTGATCGTCGCATTTATTATTTCCCACATCATTCAAAATAGTTCAAATAAAGTCATTTTACTTCACACTTTGAATCTATGCTGTTTGTAGCACTTTTTCATAAATACCGATTTCTTTAATTTAAATCATTTTAATCCGATTTATACAAAGTGAAAATCAATTGCTTAGCCCTATATTTATCTATTTACAAAACTATAAACTTTATTCAAAGTTCTTGAGCCATTTCCAGTCGATGAAGTAACAAGTAACAGACTAAGAACGGTCCAGTTCGTGTAAGCGTTGTGTATTACTTATTTCTAATGTCCCTGACCGATTTTTGTCAAAAACTATTTTTTTAAATGCCTCCTATATGACTTAGCATTTTGCATCAATTTATAATACAGATTACTAGATATAGTTCAATAGCCAGTTTTCATTTATATACCAGTGGATAATAATTTAGTTATCGCTTGCGGTTGTGATAAGTCTAGATGATTTTAGCCAACGATCGCGTTAGAACCAGCCTATAACAAAGTCAGGGTTGAATACGTTTAAACCGGCAAGGCCTACTTGGAAAGCAAATAGCATGCGGCGGGAATGTAATAACACATCGAAACACTGTGATATCATTAACAACATTCATTAAAATCTTGAAATCAAATTAACATAACATAAGGTTATCTTTTTTTAGTTAAGATTATCTATTGTCTATCTATTGTAGTATGGCTCGATTTATATACCTAGTTGTTAATGTTACATCACATCACATCAACAGCCTATACTAGTCCACTGCTGGACATAGGCCTCTCCTTAGAAAGGACACATACTAATGCCCAAGATTATTATAGGCGTTTTGAACTAAGTAGAATAGTTTTTAGTTCATTATATAATCTTGCCACGTGATTGAATATGTCATATTATTAAATAGTAGCTTTTGCTTACGACTTTGTTTACGTGGAATTAGTCATTTGTGTTGCTGGCTTTTTTATCGAATCTGCTATTTCATCAATCTGCTTACAAGCCAATGAACGATTGGTACCTGTGGGACATAATTTTGAGATTTAGATCTAAAATGATTAAGTGGTCCAAAATGTACCTGGTACCAAGTGCAACCTAACCATTCTTTATTTCTAATGAAAAGTTTAATGATAATAGTCTTAAAGGCCTTTTTATTGTTCGCTTCGATATGTCTCAAGTTATATCGATTTCATATTACATCTCAATTGGTTCAGCGGTTTAAGCGTGAAGAGGTAACAGACAGACACACTTTCACATTTATAGGTATAAATTGTTACCACTTATAATGTACTAGTTATCCTGATAAGACAGTAATAAAGAAGATAACGATCTACGTTTATTGCCATCGCAGCAGGATATTGTTTCATAGACGAAATAATTGAGAGGCAATCATGTAACAGACAGGTTCATTATATATTCGAGAATACCTGATTTCGCGTTGTCTGCCTGTATTTATTTATCTAATCAGCCTATTTCACCCTACTAACATATAAAACTTCCTTTGTATTACGACAAAGTTAACTATGAAATATTACAAATGTAACAAAATTCTTCATGTCGGATTTTTTTTACAGATTTGAGACTTCAAAACTCGTTACTAAACATGTTGCTTTTATTACTTGTATTTTTATGACTGCTAGTCACGTAGCTCACATAAAGCCGAACAGTATTGTTAAGATTTTCGGTAGTATTTCTAGCGGATTTGAAACTTGTGGAATCTGCAATGTCTCAAAACCCGGCACTACATAATAATAATAACTTCACACATCAGTTCAGCAGTCACGGTCACTGGCCGCTATACCAACAGGCCCGTCATAAAAAGAACAAGTTTCAAGGAATATTGTATTTCTATTACAGATTCTTTTTGCTGGCTTGTGTGATGCTTGCGCGGGCGCAAGAAGAAGGTGAGACGCGTTCGCGCATTATACCGAAACGAGGTTCCTTGGCCAAAGGCAAGACTACAACTACTACCACACCTGCACCACAGGTACTGTATCTTTCTTCGTCTATTATAACGCTATTAAGACTTTAAAGATAGAACCGTGCGCCACGGTTCGTGTAACATGGCAAAGCTATACAAAGTTTAATGATGATCGTCGATAAGAATTTAAGCTTTCCTATAACCCAAAAGGAGGCATTTGTATTTACTCCTAAACTGATTTAGAATGTATTATTTAAAATGATGTTATTAATTGAGGTTAATAACTATTTAGTTATTAACTGAAGTAAGTAGTGAGGCAAGTTTGTCAAGTTGAAATGAGAAGAGTATTTAAATGTTTTACGGATTTGACTGTCCGTACAGTTTTTAGGTTTTTGTAGTTTATTGACATTGAATACGCTTGCTTTTTTTTGACTGAAAGAAAGCCTTATTAATTGGTGCTGACCATTTTTTTTAACTAACAATAAAGTTTAAGTGCTAAAGTTTATTTGCACTAAGTTTTAAGATTGGATACGTTTTTATTGAATACGTTTTATGTTAATAAAATAAGTAGAAACATTATAATAGACATATTAATTTTTTATAAAATTCAAAAGGCATACCTTACTATCAGAGATCACTTTTTATGAAACTTTCGACTTTTCAAATTAGAGGCTCCAAACGGTGAGGCGCAACTTCCTGTAAGACGAGTATGTTGAAAACGTTGATAGATACCAGTATTCAGTTAGTTTAGTCAGATCATTGAATTTAGTTGCATAAAAAATCTCTCACTCTCTCTTTTTCTATGAACACATGAGCGTTATTACAAACTCAGAGTTTCTTCACAATTCTAAATAGATTCCAATAAGTAACTAGCGATTACGCTTTGGGTAAAATGCTATTTGATTACCAAGCCGTGGTCACAGCCGGCTTGCGGTTACACAACATTCACTGATGTATACAACTAACCCATATAGAATAAACAATCTTACACACATCAGAGGTATCTATTAAAGAAATTGTCAAACATACGAAGTGCGTGTCCATACAATCATTAGAGCACATCGAATGCGAAAAGAGGTTGCGAAAGATATTTCTGTTGAAGCAGATTGTATGTTTCTTTAACAACATAAATTATATTCATACGTACAAAGTTGCGCAGGAGGCAACTTTTGTATGTATTATGCAGTATTGATCACGTACACCTGGTAAGATCTCGTGGGTGAGACGACTTTATCCTTAATTAAGTATTACAATACACACTAAAAGCGTTTTGTTGCAACGTTGAAAAATAACTGAATTGTTGTGGGTTAAGTATAAAAAAAAAAAAAAAGACTGCGCACTGCAAAAAGGACGGAAAACTTGACAAACCCTATACCAACCCCGCCTGGCCAGCGTGGTATAGTAGGCCAAATCCTTCTTTCTAAGGAGAGGCCTATGTCACAGCAGTGGACTATCAAAGGCTGTTGATGTGATGATGATGAAGTATTTTTTATACTTTAAATACCTAGTATTTTGTACGATTGTCTTGTTTCGACATAATTTTTGCACTAATTATAGAATATAAACTAAGGCTAACATAAAAGGATTGATATTTTTTACTAATGTGATATTCTAAACGAGTTTAAACATATTGATCATAAATTATTGTATATTGATAGTTTTAATATGAATATTGTTTTATTTTTATGTTTTTTTTGTGTTTGAGGTCCTGACAAGTAGTTCTAAGTATTTTTTCTTAGTTTCAGTTATTCCAACTATGACAAACTTCAAACCAATCATGTAACTAATAACTCCGAACTCTTGGTTATTTTTTCTCACTTTATTATTTAAATATACAACGTTACCTTAGTACACCCAATATTACCTTTATAAACCCATTCTTAGTTTTTAGTAATAAAACACTTAAATTTTTAAGGGGAATAATTCTCTCAAAGAAACTTTAAAACCCTTGTAATTATGCCACGTGATTTATTTAGATAACAAAATACATATTTTAGGATTGTAACCATTGACGAATAATCTTTCTGCAGGAGAACAATGATGCCTAAAAAAATATTGTAAATATTAAAGAAAATTCGTCTTTACTTAACACAAAAACTAGTTTATTTATTAGAAGCATATAATTTTTTACCCTTTCTTTCGTTGTCTGCGAACTCATGCAAGCGATTAGGGAAGTGGATTTGTCTGTATTTATGAAGAATTGTTCTTACGCGGTTTTGCGGATATTGAACCCTCCCGGTTTTGTGGAAACATCTGGTCACAGCCACGGTAACTATTTTAAATAGTACTAACTGAACTATCATTTCATCGGTATTGTAGAAAGACTGAGTATATGTTAACATAACTTAGGTAGAAATATTCTATTTTCATTTATATTAGTGAAGCTTCGTCTGTATATCTGATAGCACACGAGCTAAAACTAAAAAACTACATCAGAAAAAAAGCTTAATCCAAAGGTAAAATTAACTTTGACGTCATTATTGCGATCTACGTAGCCGGTTGATATCTCGTCAGATACATCGTTGTTTCGCAAAGGATGTCGTCGCAGGTCCATTCTGGTTCAAGGCGAGTTGGGCGAGCGTCTGATGATCGGGTCACCTTCGCGTATGACCTTTGTAAGACCTCCCTTCCCTTTGGGGAATTTCTACCTGCAAGTTTGAACACCATCTGACCGTCTAGAACAGGTTTTTCAATGTAATTTATGACATTCAATGCTATACGAATGTACGTTCTCATGCGGAAACCCTTTATTTAATTTTAACTTGTGGTTTTATGATTCAGGGTTAATTTTATTTAGATGATTAAAAATAAGTTGGTATGTGTTAAAAACAACTAATTTAAAAAGGATTTTAAAAGGGTTTCAGGGATTAACTTCATGAATTATTTGAACAGTTTCACTAATTTAGCGTTACATTGTAATAATGTACCTATGTAGATTTGGAAAATTACGTCGGATACTTATAAAATTGTTATTTAATTGAAACTAGATGTCTAGAACCTTAAAAAACATCCTTCTTTTACAAAATTTAGCAATTTTTTGTTTTAGATTTTTTCTAAATTTTCATTAAAAATACAAAGTATTTTTTCAGTTGTATGTTTTAGGTATTTATTGTTACTATATTTTTAAGGAGGAGAGAATATGGGGATGAAGGTGACCCCCTGCCGAGGAAAAAGCCAAAAAGTTTAAACTGAAGGTCAACGTCAACCCCCCGAGGGCAAGAAATTTGTGGTTCAAGTCGGGCCCCTTTCAGAAGTAACACTGAATTTTTGAAATTTTGAAAAGGGGGTCAAGCCGCTGAAGGTAAGTAAAAATAAAAAATAAGCAAGAAAATAACATTAAAATTTTAATATTTTTTTATATGTAGGACCGAATAAATTTTGTTTTTTATGGCAAGTTCCCCGTGTTCAGCAGTTTATTATGTAAACTAAAAAAACATGAACACGTGGTATTTTGGACATCGTGTTCATGAAAAAGTGGGGAGGTAAGTGCCCTTGGGGGGTAACGGGCTATTAGCAACCATTTGATTTTATTAATATATTTATTTGAAAACTGTGATTTAGTAGTAGATAAATTATAAAAAACCCCCTTAAAAAATACACACAGGTTCGGTTTTTTACATTTGTTTTTTTCTTTTTTTTTTCATAGCAAAACTAAATGGCCCTTCAACGACACTCGTCCCCTGCGCAGGATCCCTAGATCCCACAAAACTGCACAGTAAGCATTTTTAATTTTTTTAAATTTTATTTTTAAGCATTACATTTTTATACAAAATAAAAATTTTAATTAACAAAAAATCTTACAGCCCGGTGGGTTAGCCTTATAATGAAAACATTCAAAAATTTCATTTCTTTTTCATAGATACCAAAAAATAAAAACGCTTAACAGCAGTCCCGTGACTCGTGAAGATCCAAGATGAAGCTCCTGATCCAAGCCCACCAAAAGGGACGATTTGGCAGACGTAAGTAAAAAATAGAAAGTGAGCGACATTCCTTTACTAGATGTAGAAGTGTTCCCTTCCGTTTTCTATTTACATATTAGAAGGTTTTTTTGGTGTTTTTTTTTTTTGAGGCTATGCCTCCCCTTTAAAATGAAAAAGAAAAAGAGCCAAAAGGGGGAAAACCTAAAAAATTTACGTGATAAAAATACATTTTTAAAACTTTTTTGACAAAAGAGAAGTAAAATGTATTTTCCATGACATGTCTGCAATGAAATGAAATCCACTGAAAGTGACCCCTCTTCCCTCAAGAACTCGTCAAGTACCAACCGGGGGAAAAAAATAAAATTTTTCATGGTCTTTAAAAATTTTTTCCCCAAAAAAATAAAATTACCTACCTTCCTTTTTTTCCAAAAAAATTAAAAAATTTTCCCAAATGCCAAAAATTAAAAAAATT